TAGGATTTTTTTTTCAACAGCTGGAAGTTCGCTTTGAAATTTAGTTCGGGTGGAAACAGCTTCATACTCAGTAGTTCCCAAAGCTTCCTCGGATACGTTAGTGCCGTTCTGCGTTTGGTTCTGCGCATGCGCAGTCAGCTAATTTGTGAACGCGCAACCAAAAATACATCCGGTTCTTCGTCGATTTTATTTAGTTAAAAATGCCTAAATTAAGTTTTCCCTCCCTCAAAATAGTAAACGTACTAAAATATAACGTTTTAAAGGTTAATAATGTATTTCGTGGTTAAATAAATGCCTTAAAATCTTTTATGTTTCATCACTTGTCTCTGCCCGATCTGCACCTGAAATGGGACGCTACTAACTTTTTCCGCTTTAGATTTAAACATAAATCTAGTCTTTTTGAGTTTTATGTTTTCATTTCGTGTTAACTTTATGGTATATAGTGCGTAATCTAAAGAAAGAAACAACAAAAAGGCAGATAGATATGGTTTAACCATATTTTGCCGGACTGCTCTAAAGCATGTCCCATGATGACGTCAGAGAAGCGGTTTAACGAAAAAAAATTTAAAAGCCTAAAAATTATTGTCTTACAAAATTCATAAAACATTTTTTTTAAGATTTGCATTAGCATTCTTTTGTGAGTTAATGATAGAAATAAGTAGTTTTAGTACCATATATATATGGACACCCGGATTTAATTAAATTAATTTTCTTTCTCGCCACTCACAATATGGCGGACGCGCTCAAGAATCATCTGTACAGAACAAGTTCGGAGACGACTATTCCATTCTGGCTCAGGATAATTAAATGACAGTATGAATAGTATATAATTTTACGGTGTATTTAAAAAATAATTAAATACTGTTTTCTGCAGACGGATATTTTGTTCCTAGCTGTGTTGCAGTATTATTGTTCCCCCTGCATGTGTCAAACGTGACGACGCGAGATCATTTTGTGGGGTAAATGCTCTGTGCTTACACCTGTATGATTTTTCAGCATGCACCTTACGCAATCACTGGAGCTTTACCCCGACACCAGGGTGACGCAGGTGCTTTTTAAAGATGTGAAAAACGCTGCAGAACTGAGGCAGAAAGCGGTGGAGGGAAAAATCAACGGAGCTCTGATCAACCCAACAATGGTGAGCCTATTTTATGATTACCTAGAAAAATATTTTTCCATTTTATTCACTTTTAAAATCACCAATATTGCAGGGTTTTATATGTATACTGCAGTGACAACTTAGATGTAAAATGCAGCTCTTTTTTTTTTTTTGATTTGCAGTTGGTGGATCCTTTCCAAGTCCTTGTGGCAGCCAATAAAGCTTTTCATCTATATTCCATTGAAAGCATGAAGACAAGAAGTCTCAATTCAGAAATCATCTTCAATTTGTCACCCACTAATAAGGTGCGTACTTATTAAAGTCTTAATATCCTCTTAATACATATCATCATCATGTCACAAACATCTGCAGATTTTAAAGGAAGTTTATGTCAACATGGGTAGCAGATTCTTAAGATCCTTTTCCCATCGGCTGTAAGCAAATTCCTAGTCAAAGCTGTCAAAAAGCATCTCATCAGCACAGTAGCCGCACCAGGGAATTATGAGTTGGTTGGCGGTTAGGCAAAGGGGTGTCCTGAGTTTTTATAAAGAGAAGTTCAATGACATTTGATACGGCAAATATTAGTATTATAGATATCAGATAAATACTGATCCCAGGCTTTTATAGTTGCCATAACAACAGCACTGCTTTGGCTCTCAGCCGACAGCAGCACACCTTTTAAATTTAACTGTGCTAAAAAAAAAACTCACAATGTTCATGAGCATGGTGATACTTAAACCACCATCTAATTTTTTTAGAGTAAATAGAGTAATCTTTTTACATGGTATTGTTGATAATAGGATCGATCCAGACATCTCTAGTTGTTAGAATTCAGATTTTACTGCTAACTTCCTGTGTGCACCAGGTTGTCCCTCTATTTGCACTGTATGGGTCATATATGCTGTTGTTGCCCTGTTAGGGTAATGAACCTGGCATGCTGCTGGTCCTGGGCTGCCACGCTGCCTCAGCACATAGTTGTGCAGTTGTGGCGCTATGTTTGGCGAAATCTGTATTTTAGGCTTTTTTTATTTTTTTATTTACTTTCAAGTGATGGTGGACTGGGTAAATAATCTGCTTCATTTTCTTCACAAGCCCCTGGCGCTCTCGTAACAAGGAGTTTGTTATCTTACCCATCAAATTGCGGTGGTGCAGATCCAGGGCTAGTTTCACCGACATGAGAGCACACAAAGCAAACATTAATGCCCCAACTTGATGTGACTTTTGGATAATATGTTTTTCCTCTTTATATTTTTTCTTATATCATTTTGTTATGCTTAATCATGTAAAATCCCAGGTAAGTATGGTTAAAATGCAGCAAAATATTGTGTGCGAAAATCTCTTGGTATTGCCACCACATTAACCTGATTTTTTAACTCCTGGTGATGCAGATATCAGAGGCTTTCAAAAGATTTGGCATCGCAGACAGAGACACCTCGGTCCTGGTGGTGGTGGTTCACAGTAAAGACGAGCCGCAGGCTGTGTCTAACATCACTGCCATGGTGGATGGACAGCAGCTTCCAGTGGACCAGGTTTCCTCATTGTCAGACTTGGAAAAAATCAGAAAGGTATCAGCATGTGAATCTCTGTGTGCTTTAGTATGGAGGAGACCATTGAAGAAGAAAAAAAGGCCACTCAGTAAAATGAAAAAGGCTTTTGATTTCTGACTAATATCGTAATTCTAACTCGGATCTCAGGAGTCTGACTAACGTTGACTCTCAGAGTATTTTAACTTTATATAAGGGAATTCTGCGATTAAATCAGAATTCTGAGATTAAAATCAGAATTCTGAGATAAAGTCGGAATTTTGACACTGAGGTCAGAATTCTGGGAATGACATCAGAAATTTGAGATTAAAGTCGGAATTTTCAGAATGAAGTCAGAATTCTGAGAATGAAGTCAGAATTTTGAGACTGACAGTATTTTTAAATTTAAGTCAGAATTCTGAAAATGCGGTCAGCTTTCTGAGAATGGTGTCAGAACTCTGAGATTAAAGTCAGAACTCTGAGATTAAAGTCAGATTGCTGAGGCGGACGTTAGAATTCTGAGATTAAAGTCTCAGTTCTGAGACTGACATCAGAATTTCGTGAATGACGTCAGAATTTTTTTATTTAAGTCAGAATTCTGAGAATGCGGTCAGCTTTCTGAGATCGACGTCAGCTTTCTGAGACTGATGTTGGCATTCTGAGATTAAAGTCAGAATTTTCAGAATTAAGTCAGAATTCTGAGAATGAAGTCAGAATTCTCAGATTAAAGTCTGAATTCTGAGACTGACATCAGAATTTCGAGAATGACGTCAGAATTTTGAGACTGATGTCAGAATTTTTAAATTTAAGTCAGAATGCTGAGAATGCGGTCAGCTTTCTGAGACTGACGTCAGAAATCTGAAATTAAAGTCGGATTTTCAGAATGAAGTCAGAATTCTGAGAATGAAGTCAGCTTTCTGAGACTGATGTCAGAACTCTGAGATTAAAGTCAGAATGCTGAGATTAAAGTCTGAATTTTGAGACTGACGTCAGAAATCTGAGACTGACGAGATTAAAGTCAGCATTCTGGGATTAATACTGAATACTGAAAATGAAGTCAGAACTCTGAGATTATAGTCAGAATTCAGTAGCCTTTTTTTCTGGCCTTAATCCTTTTCCACACTTTAAAAATGAGGATATAATCCCCCTAATAAGTGTATTGTCTATAGGGATTAGAGGTCAAGTTGAAACACTTCCATTGAAGCATATGAAAATCATTTGATGGCTGAGCCTAAAGTGTCATCCCTGCAGATAGTTTGATTGCTCTACCAATGCTCCTTGATAAATACTAAATATTTATTTGGAGCTTTTAATAATGACTTTAAAGCAATTATTTCATCATGGTGGAGGGATTATCCATTTACGGACATTGATTTGATTCAAAAGTAAAAAAAAAAAAAACTGACCATTCCCATCCACAGAGAAAAAATGAAGACATTTGTATTATTGTCATACTTTCAGTAGAGTTTAGAGTAGCACAGGGTGTCTCCTGTTCTAGAGCCTTGTAGCAATCCCTGAGGAGAGTTCAGCTGGTTTTCCACCATTTGTTTCTAGCCTCCTGTTGTAATGAAGATGTCAGGCTTCTTGTATAGGCCGACCTCATAGCTCTCTTCATGTGTTCACGCATAATCAAATTAATCTTTTAGAGCCTGAAATAAATCTGACATTTAGGTCTGTTAAGGGTGTACAAAACGTTTTTTTTTTTTATCAGGCATGGACCTTTACCAGAGAATGACCTTTATATATTTTTTAATTGAATCAAAATGAATCAGGACTATGCAAAAGTATGAGCTGAATGTTTTCCAGTTGTCCTACAGAAGTGTGCAGAGGCCAAAATATCATGCTTTTAGTGAGATGCTGGCAAAAAGAACTCATCAGCAGATACAGTAAGATGGCTTTATTTTTGAGCATATTTTAAGTCATATTATCCTTTATCTTTGTTTTCCTTTCTGTCTCCTTACAGCTATACAAAGTCACACCTCAGGAGGAAACCTGCGGCAGCCTGTTAGACGCTATCGTATGCAGGATGGCCGTTAAGGATGTCCTGTAGCCAAAGACGCTGCTGCTCAAACGAACATCTTTCTGCTTTCATTACAAACGAGAAAAAAGAAGGAATAGTTCCCTGTTTTCAATACTCTGTGGAATTATGTTGAACACCTCCAAAGTTCCTGGATTCAGGAAATTCTGTGACTTTTTAGTCAGTTTAAATCTGTTTTTATTTAGTTGTTGGGTTTCTTTTATGATCTTAAAGCTGTTTTTGGGGAAATTCAAATATAAATAGATTTTCTACGACAGCACGTCTTCATTTGCTCCTTTTTACGTCTCATTTCGAACAGATTAAAATCCGTTGGACAGTAGGAGGCAGTAAACTTATCAGATTTATTTAGATGCTTAATTGGATTTATTTTGGATCCAGAAAGAGAAAAAGAAACTACTAGAAAAAAATGAGTTTCTACTGTGTGAAAGAGCTGAGATATCAGGAAATAAAATTTTTGTCTTGATTTAATGTGTAGAAAATCTTTTGAGTTTGTTCAGTCTGGAAAGTTGGCCAGTTCGTCTTTCCCCACGTTCCCTCCGCTGAGTATGCAGACCACCTTCTTCCCCTCCAGGTCGGGGACCTTGTTGTTGACCAGAGCTGCAAAGGCAGCTGAACCTGCCGGCTCCACCACCAGCCCGGCTCTGAAGAGCGTGGAAACCGCTGCCTTGATTTCCTCATCGCTCACCAGGATGATCTGTTCCACGTAGAGCCGACACAGCTCAAAAGGTAGCCTGCCTGGAAAGGAAAGGAGAGCCACTATTTGGTCACTGCTGCACGTTAATCCCAGTGAGTCAGAGCAGTGCGCTTGTGCTCAGCCTTCACTCTGCATTCCTGAGCATCTCCCAAAGGGATGGGTTAAAATGCAGAGAGTGAATTTCCCCATTGTGGGACAATAAGGGGATTTACATTTAAATATTCTGGATTAAAACCCTCTAGCATTTTCCAAGTCTGAAAAAGAAAATTAGAAGTATTAAAATATTTGCATTTCCAGCAGGGATACACAATATATTAGCAGTAATATTTGCATCTGCAAAAGTTTTTAATAATTTTTTATTTTTAATTATTGGCCCAATAAGTAAAGCTAGGCTGATATTAACAGATGCACTGCAAAAACGTTCTGAAATTAAGTAAAAATTTCTTAAATCAAGTGTATTTACCCTTAATTTGAGGAGGTAAATAAGACAGTTTGCCAATGGAATATATTTTTACACTTCAAATAAGATAATTGGATAATATGCACTGGAAATAAGACAATGCAATTGATTTTTCGTATTTCAAATGTATTGTCTTGTTCCATTGGCAAAGTGTCTCATTTACCTCCTCAATTCAAGAAATAATGCATTATTCGAAGAAAAAGTGACTTATTTAGATTTACATTTTTTGCAGTGTGAAATTCGCTTCCATGTAGTTTCTGAGTTTTGGGGATCCATCATGTGTTATATGTTTGGTCATATAAGTGTCCAAAAGGTAAGGAAATATATCCTATATGACGGGTCTGCAACATGCGGCTCCACAGACCTTACGCATCTGCTTTTGATAACTTTAAAAATAAAAGCGAGACAACTAATAATTTTATATACAAAATAGAAAAATTCATTTTTCAGCTGTTTTTTGCTCTTGGAATGAGGGATTGAATTCCCAGCCATGCTGATGGTAAAAATACCTGAAATTATCCTTTTTTTTTATTTTAATATATATACATAATTGTCTAAAAATATATTTTATAGAAGATAAAATATACATCCTTTTAAAGTTCAGTTTTTCTTTATTCAGACCTTACAGTAGAAATTTAATGATTGGTCTTTTAAAATGCAAACAACTTTCCTACAGTAGATGTTTTCAAAGAAAAACAGATTTTTCATTTTATAAAAAGCTCATGGAAGAGCTGTGGCTCTAAAGTTTTATTTTAGCTGGACTCTAATATAGGACATCAATTAAAACCAGTAATAGTTTCCTGTCTTTCATGATTGGATGCACTGATTATTCCAAGTGTGTATGACCTAAGTAACTGGCCAGACACACCTGGATTAATCAGTTCGTCCAGTAATGAAAGACAGGAAACAAAGGAGCTACCTTAAATTCAGGAAGTAGTGGAGCTGTGCATAAAGCCCATTGGTTATAATAACAGTTTTAATATTGATATAGGGCCAGATTGTAATCTTACTGCATCCCTAATTTCTAGTTAAATTCACTATCCCATTGGGTTTATATCCTTTCTTCTTCCTCAGATTTTTGTATGCAAAATTTTTGACAAATAGGTTGCCGGTCCACTTTCAACAGCAGGCAAATGTCTAGATTGGCTAATGGTTTGCAAGCCCCACCACGGCCAGAGTGTATGGATTTTTTATTTTTTTGTCTGGGGAACCATAAGTGCAAGAATGCCATCCATCAATTAAGTCTTAAGATTAATCTGGACACTTCATTTCTGAGATAAATCCTCTTTCATACCTTTGATTTGTCTTTTTACTGTTTGTTTTTTTACTTCCTTTTTGTCACCCTTGTCTCCCACATTTTATCCTCCCTCAGTCCTTCCTTTTATCTCGTTTTAATTCCTTCCCTTTTTACCTTCAGTGTCCGTTCTTGTCATACATTCTCTCTTCAATTATTTTTTTTTATCTTGTGTCTTTTTCTTTGTTGTTTTCTTCCTTATTTTGCTTTTCTTGTGTCTGTCCTTCCTCCTTTTCTTCCAATCTTTCCTCCTTATCCATCCATGTTAGAACCCTGCTGCTTGGACTGAATATTATTTCTGCTATTAAACTCAATTCATGTTTGTATTTTTAAAGCAAATTTAAATGTAGTATTTTCCCTGGTTTCATAGTCATCTAATGGATTTTATTTTGTGCTACCATTTCAAAGGGGTTTAACTGAGAATGCTTCACACTTTTATTAGGTTTAATATAAAACAATATACAATTAAAAAGACCTGAAGTTTGCTGGTTTAATGACTAAACCAGAAAAAGACTAATTTAAGAAAATGTTTATAATCAGTAGCTACCTGTTAGCATAGATATAATCCGAAGAAAAAAGGACAAACCTGCAGAAGGAGGTGCAAGCCCCGAGGCGATGCTCTTTGCATCCATCCACACTGGCTTCTTCTCAATAAAGCTTTGGTACATCGTGCAAGCTGGTTGTTAAACACAAAAACACATTCTGTGAAATTTAAACTCTGTCCCGATGATCTATTTCTACACATATTTGAAGCCTAACTTTACCTCCTTCTGGTTCAACACCATAGATCCGTGTTTTATTGAGCCCTGACAGCTTGATGGCAGCTGCAACCCCGGATAGCAGCCCACCCCCACCACAGCAGACCACCACCACATCCGGCTCCGGGACCACCTCCAGCACCTCCAAGCCCAGGCTGCACATGCATGATAATTGGGACAAAAATCAAATCCCTTATTAGGAAGCTGCAAAATTCAGTGCATCTTTTTTGTGTGATTTCATGCAATCGATCAAAACAAGGTAGTCCATAGTTGTGAAAATGGAGGAGAACATAGGTTTCTGGGTTTTTAAAAGTAAAAAAAAACTATATATATAAAACGGTGATATACCCGTGCCCTCAGTCCTCTACGCTCCCCTGAAGGAAAGGTAAGGATGATCAGAGCTGATAGAATGAAAGGAGGGTAATCTAGAGGAAAATGCACGCCACACTTTTCAGATTTTTCCTGGTTAAAAAAAAAATCCTACAAAAACAGGTTTCTGTTTCCCTCTATTTCACTTTGATGTGCTACTCTGTGTTGGTCTACATTGAAATTTCTTGACAAAATGTAATAAACTTAAAAGTGGGTTGCATAAATTTGAAAAGCTTTTCTATAAATCGAGTACCTGGCGTGTCCGGCTATCAGATCCAGGTCATCGTAGGGGTGCAGTAAGGTCATGTTGTTCTCCTGAACACAACGGTTCACCACACTCATCAGCGACGAAGTGGGAACTCGCTCCACTTCCACCCCAAAACTCTGAGGATAAGAATAATTTCACAACTAAAATGAAATAATCCAACAACACTGGCTTTATTCAGATTTCCCTTTCTGAGGCATGTTTTTCAGTCTGACCTGGATTAAGGTGGCCCTGGACTCTGGGGCTGTTTCTGGCATAACCACCTTTCCCTTTGACCCGTAGTGCTTTGAGGCGTACGCAAAAGACTTCCCATAGTTCCCTGCAGACAAAGTCACAAAACATCCTCTCCTCGGTCTCCTGGAGAACTGATTGGCCACTCCTCTGATTTTAAAGGACCCTGTCGCCCAGAAACGGGAGTCATGAGTGGGGTCAGACATATGGGTTTAGATCAAACATCAGCTCCCACTGACCGGTTCTCTGCATGTTTTCCATTTTGATGTGGACGCTGCAGCTGACGTTCAAAGGCAGCGTGGTCTGACACCAGGGGATCATGGGGGTGTTTATGACACCCAGCGGGCTGCTCCTCACCCTCTCCCTGGCTTCTCTCAACAAATCCAGGGTGACAGCTTCTGCAGACACATCACCCATCTGGGGAACCAGCAAAACAATGATCAATATCATTTTCGAATGATAAAAATGCATAAAGGTTTATAATGTCTGTTTTTTCAATAAACCTTGGAACAGTAAACCCATTAAAACCTTCATTTAAAATACTTCAAATATTTAAAACGTTATCACGGCCAATCACATTATAATCAAAGTATCTATAGAACAGAGGCATAGCCAAAAATTTTTATAAGGGTGGCCAGGCAATAACCAATGTATACTGAGGGGTGGCCAATAATGGATAAGCACCAGAACCTCAGGACCAGAACCTCTTTACCCCATAAAACACAAAATCTAATTCTGAAAAGAGCAGGAATTCTTTACTTACCATCTTTAATGTTACTATATTGATGTGCATAATTAACCACAGTGTTTTTGTTATCAAGTAATTATGAATATATGAAAAAAGTGTAAGTAATATATGGCCAATTAAAATGTTTGGAATATTCCACTTGATTATTAGGGGGGGGAAACAATGGTAGGGCTGGCCAATGATTGGCTAAGGGTGGCCATGGCTCCCCATCTAGCTCCGCCCCTGCTATAGAACAAAATAAAATGTAGATCTTCTACAATTATTTCTATTTGCAAATTCTGTTTAATATTAGTTTTTTTGTTTTACTTTATACTTACCCACTCCCCCACCCCAATTTTTTACCTAATATTTTCTCTATTTCTAATGTAATTTGTATCATTTCCAGTTGGAAAACACTCGTTTGCATAAAATTGCTCAGTAAATAAAGATTAGATGAGTGACTATTATATTATAGAATCATAAAAGTAATATGATTCGGCTGTTTTTTATATAATAAATAAAAATGTTAATGTAAACAAACGGTTTTCTGAAGAAATACCCCTTAAATAAGGCACCATATGATCTGTATGTTTGGGAAACTTTACACTGACCTTATTATTATTATTATTATCAGCTGCTGTTTCTGCGGTTAAGATCCCAGCGGATGAATGGACAGCTGTGTGTGCTGGAGAATATGAAGGTGGAGGGAAAAAAATATAAAGTATTCAAGTGAGCAAATCAACGAATCGAGAAACCTTTGCCCATACAAGACTAGAAGGTGGGACCTCCCAAAGGGGCGTGTTTGCTGCTGTCAGGTCAGCGTTCCGAGCGGAACCAAAGAGCGCCTCAAGTCGGACATACTTTCAGGAGGGACCCGAGCATGTTGAAACGAGTTAGCTGCTATTTTCAAAGTTACGCAAGCTTTAAATGAATACAGTCGTAAGTGTAAGGTTTTATAATTGTCGGGAACGACATGGGGTTGATAAGACACGTCGTGTGCGCCATGTCAGGTGGCGTGGACAGCTCCGTGGCGGCTCTACTGCTGAAGAGGAGAGGTGAGACATTCCGTGGGGGGACAGAAGGGTTTAAAACACCACCCCGGTTACCTCAATGGAGCTTTGTGTTTTATTGTTAAATGTACTGTAAAACCATCATATTATAGTTTGTTCTTAAATGCTGTGGATATTTGTCACTTTAAGGCTATAATGTGACGGGGGTGTTCATGAAGAACTGGGACTCCCTTGATGAGAGCGGAGTCTGCAGCACAGAGAGGGACTGTGAGGACGCCTACAGGGTGTGCCAAATGCTGGACGTCCCCTTCCACCAGGTGTCTTACGTCAGAGAGTACTGGCATGACGTGTTCAGGTACCCAACTTGTCTTTTTAACAAGCCTCTCAACACTGAGCTTAAAGTGAAATTCCAATTACACTCAACAAAACCTTCATTTTATCCAAGTGAAATCTAAGTGAAAATTACAGTTTTCTATAAGACCTGAATTAGAACTCAAGAAAAACTGATAAATTCAGCTGTAAGAATTGGAGCAATTTGTTTAGGAACAAAAAAAAAAAACATTTAGCAGATGAAAACTGGGATCTTACCTCAATACCAGTGAAGCTATCAGCTTATTGCTTTTAAATAATTAGAAAAAAACAGAATTTTTAAAGAGAAAAAATTCATAGATCCAAATGACCTATCAGTAACTATGTCTGTTGCAGCGCATATCTTCATTAGAATTTCTTTGAGTATAATTTCTTCAGTACAGGGGCAAGGACATGATCTACAGGGACACTGGCCCCTGTCTAGAACCGCCCATGCATATAACATACATCAAAACAGTCTGAAAAAGGGTGTATTTGCAGAAGCAAGAAGCTTATAATGCCCACCTTCCAAAGCCAGTTTACATTGGACTAGAAAGCAAATGAAAAATAAAAAGATGGCTACCATTTATAATGCATACCAACATTTGAGGAAAAATTATTATTATACAATATATTTTTTTTTTTTAATCAAAGCCCTTTTATTACAGTTTCCTTCAATGATCATTATAATCAACTTTAAAGGATTTATTCATTCAAAAATCCTATTTAAACTGAACATCTCTGCCCAATAAAAAGCGGAATTGATGCAGGTTGTTGTTGGAAGCATGGATTTATTCTGTAACTTATTTTATTACCACCCTTTATGAATATGAGAAAATGTGATTGCATCTATTTAAAGCTCCACATATTTTCATTCTATAACTGCACTGTACCTACCTTCTGTCTATTGATTTTGTTTTTCTTAATTTTTTTTTTATTAAAATTTTTTTATATGTCTATTAATTCTGAATAATATGTGTTGTGACTTAATTTCTCACTAATTTCATCACATTTTGTGTTTTGGCCCTTTGTGGAGCTAAAATAACTTCTCATATATTTCTTTCATGATCATCCATTTTGTGCTTGGCATTACGTAATTACAAATGATGCACTTACTAGGCGGAATAAAAAGTAATTCCCATCAAATGTACAAAAGTATCAAAATTTGAATAGAAAAATCAATTTTAGAGTTTTAGATTGTTCTGCTTTCTATGAGTTATCTATATGTTAGGATCAATCCGCACATATAATAAAATGTGCATGCATTTGTTTAAGAGTGAGAAATTCAAAGTGAGGCGTGTGCACATGAAATGCATGCATCACACTGTCAGTGCGGGAGAGTTTAGAGTCCTGGCAGTGTAGCTAATATTCTGTCTTCATGTGTTATAATCGTCTCGAATGTTTTTGCAGCAATCTGCTGAAAGAATACGAAAAAGGCAGGACGCCAAATCCTGACATACTCTGCAACAAACACATCAAATTCAACCATTTCCACAAGTATGCCATACACACTTTGGGTAAGAATGCTTTCTTTATTTCTGATATTTTTGAATTATTGAATAAGCTAAATTGGTTTACATGCAGCTAGAACATTTCTACGTTCCCTTAAGGTTATGCATATATTAATCTGGAAAGTAAATAATCAATTGGGAAAGTAAATTATAAGTAGCCTATTAGTTTCAAAGTATTATGTGTACAATAATAAATATAATACACTTTTTTGTTAAGTCTTGAACCCTTTTTTGCAGGCAGTGATTGGCTAAAAATCATTATAATTTGCTGTCTGTGCAAACAAGAGTTCTCCCCTTGTTTAAGGTGCTGATGCCATGGCAACGGGCCACTACGCCAGGACGTCCCAGGAAGATGAAGAGGTTTTCCTCCAGTCTCACTCAGCTCCACCCACCACACTGTTCAGGGATCGATTCGAGATCAGAAATCGTAAGAGTTCCGCTCTGATTTCTGACAGATAGATCTTGTTTTTTGTTTTTTGTTTTCCTAGCAGATCTGTTCTTGTAAAACCCCGTGTAACTTTGTTCCCATTAGCTGTGAAGCTGTGCAAAGGGGCCGACCTCGTTAAAGACCAGACCTTCTTCCTCAGCCAGATCTCGCAGGATGCCTTATGTCAAACCCTCTTCCCGCTCGCCGGACTCACTAAAGACTTTGTCAAAAAGATGGCAAACGAAGCAGGGTTTCATCATGTGCTGAAGAAGAAAGAGGTTTGAAAAAACATTTCTAAATCTAGTTTTAATTCCCTCCTTTTCATGCTAAACGTGAACTTTAAGACCTGTATTTCCAGAGCATGGGCATTTGCTTTATTGGAGAAAGAAACTTTGAAAACTTCATTTTAGAGGTGAGATTAGGTTTTTGTTTTTCTTTTTATTCTCCCCCTCTGGCTCTAGATTAAGCCTAACATCTCTTTGCCTAGAAAATTATCAACTGCAGCAATTTTTGTTGAACTTTCAGTATCTGGAGCCAAATCCTGGGAACTTTGTGTCTATAGAGGATGGGACTGTGAAAGGAACACATAAAGGTCTGCTTTATGTAGTCTAATGAGTTTTAACATAAAGAGCTACTTGGTTTTCTATACATTTTCCCTTTTACTGGACTGTTTGTGATTTTTGTAAAGGCTGGTTTACTCTGACCCTGGGCCAGAGGGCGAGGATCGGTGGCCAGAGAGACGCCTGGTTCGTGGTGGACAAAGATATCGACTCCGGTGATGTCTTTGTGGTGAGATTTTGTCGTCTTTGAGACGCCTGGCTCATATTTTTTTCCCTCTTTATTTTTAAATCAAGGATGCATCAGTTCTCTCTTGTTCCAGGCTCCGTCTACCAATCACCCGTCTCTTTTCCGTGACACGGTGAAAACCGACCGCTTCCACTGGATCGCTGTGGACCCACCTGCAGAGCTAGTCAGGACCCAGATGATGGAATGCCAGTTCCGCTTCATCCACCAGATGCCGCTCAGTGAGTCCTACCTTTTCACAGCAGCTAAGCTGACATTAAGGTGATGCAGATTCCCTCTGAATGTGTTTCATCTTTGCAGTTCCCTGCACTGTGACTCTAAACATGGACGGTTCAGTGTGGATTTCCCTTTCTCAGCCAGTCAGAGCTCTAACACCCGGACAGGTACCACCTCAGCACCCTGATGTCAAACTGTGCCGCAGTAAGACTTTCCTCCAACATTATTTCCACTAGAGTAAGTCTTTCCCCATATTAGTTTGCAGTGCTCTACAAAGGCGACGACTGCCTGGGCAGCGGGAAGATCATCCAGCTGGGTCCCAGTGAATACACACTGCAGAAGGGCCGCGAGCGCCTGGTTGCTAACCAGCAACAAAACGATGAGCCTGCACCCGATCCTGCCAGCTGATAGCAGAGCTCTCAGTCCAACGGTCCTAGATGTGCAAGAAGACAAGCCTGGAAACTGGAGAGGGTGTTTAACGTGGATCTTACTAGACCTTGTGTTTTAACAGTCTTCATAAGGACAGAGCGGCGCCTTTATAAATCATCTGTATCCGAACATAAAAAGGCGACTTTACAAAAATAAGATGGTTTAGCTGTCTGTGCCAGAAAACACCCGCTCCAGTTCTTATTTATGCTGCATAGCATATAATGTATTTAAGATGTGAAAATGTATAAAGGTATTTTTTATAAAACATGCAGAAATGAAGAAACTTTGGCTCCAACCAAACACCTTAAAGGTATAGTGGAGGATGTCAATCATTCTGGTGATTTGTTCATACTGCCTACGTGATCGTACCGATTTTCAGTTACCGGTGGTGAGTCTGCAAATCTTCCTTTGGAAAGTAAGCTTGTATTAGTGATGCAAACAGCAGGTTTTAAACAGAGCGCGCACGAGGAGAAATGGGCTTGTGCACGCTCTCACACGTGTTTAATAGGCGTTCCCTCTCAGGAGCGGGTACAGGGTTGTGCATGTGCATTTTTTATTTAAGTGGAGAGGGCGGGCCTTTTCAAAAATTTTGGAAAATCCTCCACTATACATTCAAGGAGTTCTAAAAATGATGTGCTGATTAGATTTCTTTTAAATGGCGTATTTTTACATCAGAAATAAGACATAAACCACTGCTCAAGCAAAAGCACAAGAGAAGCTTGATATTATAAAATCTGTTCGTTGATGTTTAGGTTTTAGTTTTTTTTTTTTAAGTGGAGCGGTGACTCAGAACTGGTTCTTTTGGGATTTTTATGGAAGTCAGGAGGAGAACACTTGAAGCATATAAAGAAATAAACCTGCAGTGAAGCATGGTGTTGACAGTGATGCTTAGGGGTTAGGGTGCTTCCTCTGCTGCTAGAAACTTTATCAGGGCGAGACGGATCCCATCAAACCTTGTTTGGCTGGAACACAGCATAAGTTTTATAAAGCATGGTGAAGGAGGGATGATGATGCAGGCGTGTAATGTGAGGCCATCTAACAGCTAAAGCTTAACCTGAATTAGGTTGTACCACAGAGCCAGTGCCTCAAAACGCAGCAGAAATCCTACAGCTGAATGAAATTCAAAATAAGAAACCTACAGAAACTAAAAGATAAAATTAAATATTTCACTAATGAGTTTCTCATATAAGAATAATTTGTTGATTTAAATTATTTTTATTGTTCCAATACTCTGAACCCTGGATTGTTCAATTTTCTTTTAAATATGTGATCTGCTCTTTTGGAAAAGAAAACACTAACTTAAATAAAAACTGGTTTAAAGTAGCACTGTTTTTTTTCCCCTGATATATATATATATACACTATATTGCCAAAAGTATTTGCTCACCCATCCAAATTATTGGAATCAGGTGTTCCAATCACTTCCATGGCCACAGGTGTATAAATTCAAGCACCTAGGCATGCAGACTGTTTTTACAAACATTTGTGAAAGAATGGGTCTCTCTCAGGAGCTCAGTGAATTCCAGCGTGGAACTGTGATAGGATGCCACCTGTGCAACAAATCCAGTCGTGAAATTTCCTCGCTCCTAAATATTCCACAGTCAACTGTCAGCTGTATTATAAGAAAATGGAAGTGTTTGGGAACGACAGCAACTCAGCCACGAAGTGGTAGGCCACGTAAACTGACGGAGCGGGGTCAGCGGATGCTGACGCGCATAGTGCGAAGAGGTCGCCAACTTTCTGCAGAGTCAATCACTACAGACCTCCAAACTTCATGTGGCCTTCAGATTAGCTCAAGAACAGTGCGCAGAGAGCTTCATGGAATGGGTTTCCATGGTCGAGCAGCTGCATCCAAGCCATACATCACCAAGTGCAATGCAAAGCGTCGGATGCGGTGGTGTAAAGCACGCCGCCACTGGACTCTAGAGCAGTGGAGATGCGTTCTCTGGAGTGACGAATCGCGCTTCTCCATCTGGCAATCTGATGGACGGGTCTGGGTTTGGCGGTTGCCAGGAGAACGGTACTTGTCTGACTGCATTGTGCCAAGTGTAAAGTTTGGTGGAGGGGGGATTATGGTGTGGGGTTGTTTTTCAGGAGCTGGGCTTGGCCCCTTAGTTCCAGTGAAAGGAACTCTGAATGCTTCAGCATACCAAGACATTTTGGACAATTCCATGCTCCCAACTTTGTGGGAACAGTTTGGAGCTGGCCCCTTCCTCTTCCAACATGACTGTGCACCAGTGCACAAAGCAAGGTCCATAAAGACATGGATGACAGAGTCTGGTGTGGATGAACTTGACTGGCCTGCACAGAGTCCTGACCTCAACCCGATAGAACACCTTTGGGATGAATTAGAGCGGAGACTGAGAGCCAGGCCTTCTCGTCCAACATCAGTGTGCGACCTCACAAATGCGCTTCTGGAAGAATGGTCAAAAATTCCCATAAACACACTCCTAAACCTTGTGGACAGCCTTCCCAGAAGAGTTGAAGCTGTTCTAGCTGCAAAGGGTGGACCGACGTCATATTGAACCCTATGGATTAGGAACGGGATGTCACTTAAGCTCATATGTGAGTCAAGGCAGGTGAGCAAATACTTTTGGCAATATAGTGTATATATATATATATATATATATATATATATATATATATATACTCTAACTTATCCAAATATTTAATCAACTGTTCTTTATTTTTTTGTTTGCATTAATTTATCAAACCATAAGGGAATGTAAAGGCCCAACATTCCTCACAGTAACTTACTTAGTTTTAAAATTTCAATGCACTTTTTGTGAGGTTTCTCTTTGTAATCTGTCATTTGTAAACTAATTATAGAAAAGAAAACCTTTCATATATTAGTACAACTTAAGAACTCCAAAGTAACGTGTTGTAATTTTTTTTCAAAGTTTTTTTTTAAAGTTCAAGAAAATCTTGAGATGCCATATCTACTATGTTAAGATCGACTAATTGTTGATCTAAATATGCGATCCTGGTTTTATTAGAGGGCAGACCCAGGATTGAATTATGGAAAGACATAATCAGTATTTAATACATCAGAAAAAATAGCCACTTTACCTTTTTAAATCAATAGATTAAAAAAGAAACCATAAACAAGACTGCTAGTTGGGATAAGGTGTTGATCTACCTTATTACCACATGGTGGCGCCACTAATCCTGCTATGGTTACTGAAAATGTATAAATATATATATTTTTTGTTTGAATTCCTAGACATTAAAGCATGATGAGCTTTAACATACGACACAATTTTGTAGCATCTTATATTTTCAAATCATTATTGTAATCTTAAAATCATTATTAAACCCTTAATTGACTTGTTAAGATACAGGAACATTTGTTTTATTTATTCAAAATACATGCATAGTTTTTTATTATTTTATACGTTTTCAAGTATTACAATAACTATATTGTAAATTCTTAACTAAATTAATACATTTCATATTACATCTATTACATTTACAATTCTACAGTGTTGGTCAATTGACAAAAAAAGGTCCATTGTCAAAAAGTATAACAGCCATATACTAAAAACCCTATAACATTTTAAGTAAATCTTAAAAATGTTAGTAAAATCCATCATGTTTTCTCATTTGAAAAAATCTGCATGAATAAAAAAAATACCCAACTATAAATCTGGATTAACCATTATTGTATGAACAACGTTATTCAGCAATGAGAAGAATCTTTTATGCATTGTAGATATGTTTCATACACTTTTAAATGTATCACTGGGATAATAGCAGAGCAAGTTTATAATTATAATTTTTGATTAACTCCAAAGTATAATTACAAATACTCTGTTAATTCTTAAACTAATAAATAAAAATAAATGTTTTTTTGAAAAAAGAATGAAGTTGCCATTCTTAAACCATCAGGGTATGATTGGAAATAATGTCTATTAATGTACTAAAATCATATATAAAGTAAAAGAAAAAAAGATTATTTCATTTTTGAGAAGTTAAAGCTATTAGTTCTGATATAAATCTACTGACTTTACTGTGATATAATTCAGTCTCCTTTTGGATAACATTAAGGCAAATAACCTGATCTGCTAAAATCATGTGGCTCTTGTAATGTGAGTGATCCAAGTTTAAGATTAGTACATTTATTTTCTTAGTCTGCTATTTAAAACAATCTGTATTGCAAACTGCTAAAGTGGAAATTAACATTTTATTGTTTGCTGTCCTTAAAACTAGAAGGAATCTTTATACATTGTTAAAATTTGCATCCAGTGCGCAATTAAGCTTTTATTTTTGTTTAAGTGTGACAAACCCGGCTCTGCTGACCAGCATAGACTAACAGAACCCAAAAGTGCGCTCTGAAAGTTTCCTAAAGACATTTTATCACTTTGATTTCTGCTTATAACTTTAAAAATAGAATGAAGGAAGCAAAGACGCTCAATGCGCACTGGGAATTTATTTATCCTTGTTTCAATAACAATGCGTCTGTGCGCATTAGTCACCCGGTCGGTGGCAAATCTCCATAAGAAAAAGCCCACCTCCTCCTCCTCTCGGGAACGCGTCCCTGAGGGGGGGACGCAGCAGGTTTATGGAAATAAGCTAAGGAGGTGGAGGAGGAGAAGGAGGAGGAGGAGATCCACGAAGCCATTTTGTACCCATTTCAAACTCAGTGTGGCTTCCCTGTGCGCCATGGATACGCTGACGCCAAGGATACAGAGCGAATTTACCTGCGTTAAAGGTCCGCAATGAGGAATAAAAGTAAAACGCGGTGTTGGGAGAGGGAGAGTTAATCCAGTTTGGATCACTTTCGCTGAACCTGAGTGGGATCTGGCAGGTAACCGGACATGGAGCCGCCGAGGTGTTGGATTTGGGTCTGTGTTCTGCTCACGGTGCCGCTCGCAGGATGTTTGGAGACGCACCTTTCGGAGACTTTACAGCCCGGGAGTGTTTTAGCAAACCTGTCCGTGGGACCTGGATGGATTTATACAATTGACAGGACTTTATCTCCAAACTTTATCCACAAGTTTTTCCAAGTGGAGAGGCGCAGCGGACTGATCCGCCTGTCCCACAGGCTGAAGTGCGCGAACACATCAAGGAACCCGGTGCCTGTTTACTTTAGGGCTGTGTCCTCAACGTCTGGAGACTCAACTCTCACGCATTTGAACGTGTTTGTCCACGGACAGGACTGTTTTATTAAGTACAAGAGAAAGAGTGAGCCAGACATTCATATTAAACACATTATGAAACTAAAGTCATCTTCCTGTTTACTGGCAGGTAAACTCTTATTGAATGTAAAGAAACTTTTGCCAAAATCTACACAAGGTATAAACCTTTTAAATACTAAATGTTATGGAAAAGACTTTGTTGCTGTTCTCAGGCATGGAGATTTGTTCCTGGTTAATGATTTGTGCCTTGAGCACAGAGAAAAAATGAGTTTAAAATGCACCCTGCATGGCTCTGCAGACAGCAAACTGTCTGTGCAGGTGATTTTGACGCTTTTACAAAATGAAATAACCCAGAAAGCCAGAAAGTCTAACAAACTGAGGTGGAAGCGACAAGTGAACACACCTCCACAATTCCAGCTCGCCACCTATCAGGTGTCTGTACCAGAGAATGAGCCCCCATACACCCGAGTCATTACCTTGAAGGCAACTGATCCAGATGATGGAGAGGCAGGGAGGCTTGAGTACAGCATTGAGGCTCTGTTTGACAAAAGGTCTGATGATTACTTTCAAATTGATGCAAAAACTGGAAGCATAACAACCGTCCAGCTGCTTGATAGAGAAGTGAAGGATACTCATGTTTTCAAAGTTTCTGCAAATGACAATGGCACGCCGAAAAGATTTGCCACTTCTTACCTGACTGTCACAGTGAGTGATAAAAATGACCATTCACCGGTGTTTGAACAAAACAATTACAGCGAAAAGGTCAATGAGAATGTGGAAGTTGGCTTCGAGGTGATGACGGTCCGTGCCACTGATGGCGACGCCCCTTCCAATGCCAACATGGTTTATACAATTGTCAACAAAGATGATGAGAACTCCATCTTTGAGATAGACCCACGGAATGGCGTGGTAAGGATCAAAGAGCGGCCTGATAGGGAGACCAAGGCCGAGTACACACTCATTGTGGAAGCCAATGACCAGGGGAAGGACCCTGGACCTCGAACAGCCACTGCTACAGTTCGCATCGAGATTGGGGATGAAAATGACAACTACCCCCAGTTTAGTAAGAAGAGATATGTGGTACAGGTCCCAGAAAATGTAGCCGTCAACACTAAAATTGTCCAGGTAGACGCCACTGATAGAGATGCTGGTAACAATGCAAAAGTGCACTATAGCATCATCAGTGGAAACATAAAGGGTCAATTCTACATCAACTCCCCCACTGGAGTTATTGAAGTTATCAACTCTCTGGACTATGAAGATGTCCGGGAGTATAATCTGAGGATCAAAGCTCAAGATGGTGGAAGGCCACCACTGATAAATAGTACGGGGTTGGTGGTGGTACAAGTGGTGGATGTCAACGACAATGCTCCCATTTTTGTCAGCACTCCTTTTCAATCAACTGTGTACGAAAACGTACCCATCGGTTACTCTGTTAGGCACATTCAAGCAATTGATGATGATTCTGGAGAAAATGCTCGTCTGGAATACCAGCTCACTGACACAACACCTGGTTTCCCATTCGTCATCAATAACAGTACAGGCTGGATTACAGTTGGTGAGGAACTGGACAGGGAGACCATTGAATTCTACACCTTTGGCGTTGTAGCAAGAGATCATGGGATCCCTGCTATGTCATCATCAGCCAGCGTCAGCATCACAGTGTTGGATTTTAATGACAATGTGCCCACATTTACAGAAAATTCCTACTCTTTAAAGGTCAATGAAGATGCTGTGGTGGGGTCCAGTGTGCTGATGCTGACAGCTGTGGACAGAGACAAAGACAATGTGGTGACCTATCAGATCTCCAGTGGAAACACCAGAAACCGTTTTGCCATCACCAGCCAAAGCGGCGGTGGCCTCATCACCCTGGCCCTTCCTTTGGACTACAAACAAGAGCGACAGTACGTCCTGACGGTAACGGCCAGCGATGGAACACGCTCTGGCACAGCTGAGGTGTTCATCAACGTGACAGACGCCAACACACATCGACCTGTTTTCCAAAATGCTAACCAGCAGGTGACACTAAGTGAAGATAAGCCTATAGGCCACACCGTGACTGTGGTCTCTGCAACGGATGAGGATACGGGGGAGAATGCTCGAATCACTTATATCATGGAAGATAATATTCCTCAATTTAAAATTGACCCAGATACAGGTGCTATCACAACACAGATGGAGATTGACTATGAAGTCGATGCATCCTACACTTTAGCCATCATTGCCAGAGACAATGGCATCCCTCAGAAATCTGATATGACCTATTTGGAGATAATTATTGATGATGCCAATGATAATGATCCCCAGTTTGACAGCGATATCTATAAGGGGAATGTAATTGAAAATGCAGACATCCGCACTAGTGTACTCAAGATCTATGCTACAGACAGAGATTCTGGTCTCAACAAAAGGGTGACTTATGCATTTCAGGATGGAGGTGATGGAGATGGGGATTTTTTGATTGAGCAAAATACTGGGATCATCAGAACAGCTCGCAAACTGGACCGTGAGAACGTTCCTGTTTACAACCTGAGAGCTGTTGCTATGGATAGTGGGGTTCCTCCTAGGAAGGCATTTGTTTCTGTTCATATTGAGGTCCAAGATATAAACGACAATGCCCCGGTGTTTGAGAAGGATGAGCTTTTTTTTTATGTGGAGGAGAACAGTCCCGTGGGGTCAGTGGTTGCCCAAATAACTGCCACAGACGCAGACGAGGGCACCAACGCAGATATTTATTACCAAATTGTGGAAGGCAATATTCCAGAGGTTTTCCTCCTTGACCTTCGCAATGGGGAGCTTACTGCTCTCACAGACCTGGATTATGAGACCAAAAAAGAGTACATCATTGTGGTCCAGGCCACATCAGCACCACTAGTGAGCCGGGCTACTGTGCATATCCGCCTTGTGGACATGAATGACAACAAACCTGTACTGCAGAACTTTGAAATCATCTTCAACAACTATGTCACCAACAAATCTAACAGTTTCCCAACAGGAGTTATTGGTAACGTACCAGCCCATGACCCGGATGTGTCAGATAAGCTGCGCTACAAGTTTGAATCTGGAAATGAATTATTATTTTTGCTGTTGAATGAAGACACTGGGGATCTGAAACTGAGCAGGGATCTGAATAATGACAGGGCTCTGGAGGCCCCCATGACCATCTCTGTCACAGGTGAGTGAAACCTCAAGCTCTACATCTTGTTAAAATTATAGATTTTAAGCAAGTGTTTTCAAGGAAGAATATATATATAGAAATGGGGTGTTAAAGAGTTAGCAGGGCCAACACATACTTTTCTGTTGGAGAGGGGCAGTGGCAAGTTTCAGTTAAAGTGTTGGCTGCAGGCTTTGTGCAAAACGGGTTGGTCTACTTTTAGGCGATAAATCTTTGTGTGTGAGTTGTTGGTTTAGGTAATAAAAAAGGTGCTATTATCGGGGCACCCTCATGGCTGAGCTGCTTTGTTGTCGCACTTTTGTGGTTTGCTGTCGAAAGAAGGAGTAAAACTATGTCAAGGATTTATTTCCTTAATTTTTTCAGCCTTCTGCCCAAGCACTGCAGTGGGACTTTGTGGACATCTTGAGGCAAGATGAACTTAAATGCAACAAAGGACTTGCTTTGCATACCTTCATGCACTTGTTACTCCCAGGATTTTTGAGATGGAGAGGTTGAAAATTGTGTGTGGAAAAGGGGTTTTGATCTGTAGGCATTCTTCCTGCAAGGTCATGTAGAAAGAATTCACTCTAAGTATCTGTTTTTTCAAAAGACAGAAGCAGACTTTGTTCTTTCAAGTTAAAGATTAGTGAGATTCAAGTACTTATGCATTCTCACCTTCACCGACAGGATTGCAAGAAAATCTCCTTAACATGAATAAGACTGCATTATAGAGTAACTAACCTGTCACCCACCATCAGTGTATTTCTCAACATCTTTTCTTTCTTTTGCTCCTTTTATTACTTATTCTCGCCATGGGTTGATCTTGCAGAGCACATTAAGCCCAGAAACGGGCAAACAATCCAACACATTTATAGTTGTTAAATCATCTTTCTCTTTTTGTGTCCCTCTGTCATGTTTTAAACCATGTCAAACAGGCAAAATGAACAGAGGAGCCACTCCAAGCCAGGGTCTGTTAGGGAAACTAACATTTCCATTCAATCTAAAGCTGAAAATTCGCTAGCTGATGTTTATTATGAGTTGTCTATATATGTTCGTTAAATCAAACAGCCAAACCTCTGACTTATTAATTAACTGAATCTGTGATTTTCCCTTAAGGGAAATTTTATTCTAAGAGTAATTTTTCAAAATGAACCACCCTTTGTCATTGTTTCAGACACAAATAAAGGCAGATCTTTTTCTGTCTGTTTTATGGCTGTTACAATTGACACTCAGGGGATCCTAGGCAGCTACTCACCAGGTCACAGGCCTAATAGCCCTCATTCAGGACCCCTTGATTCATGCTTGTTAATAACCAACTGACAGGCTTTGGTGTATCCTTGACAACAGGGAGCTCTTGATGGTCCCAATGGGGGGCTTGAGCCCCGTCATTTACTTTATCCCTTCTACAGAAATAACCATGTGTTGGTGAACATGGTGTACATGGAGACACTAAGGGGAGGTCTTACCTTTTATTTTTTAGGGTTCATGCTGATGTCAAGTGCTTAGTAACCATTACTTGATGCTGTGACCTCTTGACCCAAATGTCCAGGGCAAGGAGAGCCCAAGGGGACTTGAAGGCAATCAGGGTTTTAACGAGCTCTAAGAGACTGGACACCAAATGCATCCTGAAATCCATTGACTTCATTTCCCCTTGGCTACCTAAGTCAATTATTGCTTTCTTGTAGTTATTGTTTTGACAGTTTCTTGTTTGCTGCTTTATAAATATAAATATATATATATATATATATATATATATATATATATATATATATATATATATATATATATATATATATATATATATATATATATATATATTTATAAAGCAGCAAACAAGAAACTGTATATATATATATATATATATATATATATTTTATTTTATTTTTTTTTTTTTTTTTTTTTTTTTTTTACTTTTAGGCCTGATACCTTCCTAAATACACACATTACTGTTTTTTGTCTAGTTGGGGGACAATTAGACATATGCATTTTTTTTGTTTTTCTTTTTTTCTGATCATATCTATCACTAGAAATTAAAAAATAATATCCTCAATGAATGCATGCATGCATGCAGAAAATAAACTTTGCAGAGGTTTCAAGGCATGTGAACAGTGGGCTGTAGAAGTTTTTTTTTTAGGCTTTGCATGAAACACAAAACTGCTCTGATAACTCTAAGACATTGTTGTTGAGCACACTTTGATAGCCAAAACACTGCTCCATCTGTCCCCTTACTCCATCAATGAGATGTTTGTGTATGTGTGCGTATGCCACATGGCAGCTCAGTGGTTCAGTGGATAAGGGCTGTGTGTCGGCTTTGTACCTGCTTTTATTCTTGCTTTCCAATTTTACCTAAAACCTTTGGGGATTGCTATTGTTTTTCTCAGAGCATTTCTGGCTTACAATGCTGATTCACTAACCAAAATTGTGATTTAAAGTAGAGAATGTCAGTGCAGGAAACAACTGATTAAAAAAATCTGGCCTCAATTTATTAAACTTGGACCTGAACGGCTTCAATTAAGCTGCGAGTAACTCTCTAAGGTGTGCCTTTTTATAAATGATGAAAAGGAGCAGAATACGCAGAGTTAAAGCCACATGTTAATTTGTATATTTAGTTGTTCTCTGTCAGTATTGATGAGGTATTTATCCCTTATTTGAAGCCAGCCCAGACTTTGATATGCTTTAGTTGTTTCCTAATACGTAAAGCCAACCCCCAAATGTATTTCTCTTTAGGATAGATTTGTCCGGACGATAACAGCTATTCCTGAAGCATGTACAAACAGGCTATAGGTGGAGTTTTTATAAGAAATGCTGCATTTCAGATTGTTACTTAAACGATTAGGAATGATTGATGCTAGGTTGCTTCTTTCCAACTGAGCTCTGATCTCTCCTTTTGCCTCTTCTTCAGTAGACAGCACGGCATGACGCTACACGCACCTAACACTCCACCCCTCCGTTCCGAAGGCTTCCCCTCTCGTTTCCCTACAGGGCTTTTTCTGCTGAGCTTCCCTGCCTTTGGATTTGCTTCTTTATACAGTTGAAGGAGTTGCATAGAAAACTTTTTTGAAATGTCTCTTTTCTACCACCCACTTTTCTTACCAAACTAAAGCACTTTCACTGTTGGCTCCCTTCTTTCTTAGAATGCATAATTTGATTTTCACATAGACAAAGAACTTTAAGCCTATTTCAAACTCAAGGCCAGAAAAAGCACTGCTCCTTCTGTGTTCCCCAGATTATTTTTAATTACATGGGTCTCTTTTTTGTGAGGCAAATTCCCTTTGCTGTTGTATAAATTTTAAAATTCTTCTTTTCTTTATAAACTCATTCCCACAGCACAACGCTTCCCTTCCCCTTTTAATGGTCTGTACAGGCATCTGTGCTTCTACACATTACAGTCAGTTTTAGGTTTCAACTATACCTTCTTTTTTTTAGTGGCTGATTTTTTCAACAGTAAGTTGACAGGAAAGGGGGTATGAGAGAGGGGGAGAGATACAGGCCAGATTCAAACCCTGGTCACCCGCGTTGAGGACTAAGGCCGACGTCCATGGATCATGCGCATTTACCACTGCGCCACCTGCACACCCATGAACAGGCTTCTTATAGGTGTGTTTGACACACACTCTATCTGCTGATTTTGTGGCGCTGCATGTTGTTAATCCTGCTGCTGGCGTCATGCCTGCAGTAGTGGCAGAGCGAGGAGCCAGCAGTGAATCCTTGTAGTAACTTTTTAAATAAACTTGATATAAATTGTACAATACATTAACAACTGTGTTAAATGAGTTATGCAACTGTTAATTTATTGCTATTCATGGTGAAACACAGGTTTACCCCCTGGAAGTTAAGAAACAGAGATGAGTTCTCAGTGCTTCCTTTTTTACTTAACGGTATAGTCAATGATGTTCTTTTTCCGGGCAGATCATCAAAATAAGTGGTCCTTCTAATTGTCAATCATTCTGGTGATATGTTTACATAAAGTCGTCCTACACGTCCGTCCCCATTTTCATTTACCAGTGGTGAGTCTGACATTGTGGTAAAATTGCAAATCTTTTGGAAAGCAAGGTTGTCTGAGCGATGCAAACAGCATCTTTTAAACAGAGCGTGCACGAGGAGAAATGGGCCCGTGCAAGCTCTCGCACATGTTTAATAGGCATTCCCTCTCAAGAGTGGGTACAGGGTTATGCATGTGATTGGTTTTTTTTAAGTGGAGAGGACAGGTCTTTTCATATTCGCGAAAATCCTCCACTATACTTAAAGCAATCATCAGGTTAACAGAAAGCAAATATTTTGTTACTAAACAAAGCTTGTCAACTTTTATTTTAAGGCCTCGGATCTATAAAGAAGGTGATATACATGTATATGCGTGGCTAAACAAGGCCACTGTGAGTTTCCCGGGACAATTTTGATCATAATGTATCACCAGCAGATTGTTGCTCTCCACCCACGTGGCTTTCGAGGCTGAAAATGTCCTGGGTGATGCTACAAGTTAATTTAATTACAATCCATTTAAGTTGATAAGGCCGCCTGATGCTGATGCTCCATCTGTGAGTCCAATTAATCCCGTTTTCTGTAGCAGTTTTATTCTGTTAAAGATCACAAGGGATTGGATCTTCTCCTAGTAGTGTTAATTTTAGCAGCCATTTTTAAATTTAGTTTTAGTCTTAGTCCAGTTTCAGCATCGTTTGTTAGTTTTTATCACATTTAGTCGACATCATCGCATTTTTATTTAGTCTAGTTTTAGTCGACTTAAGTCAGAGCATTTTAGTCTTTATTTTAGTCCAAGAAAACATAATTTTATTAGTTTAGTTTTAATCAACAAAAACTGTCAACATTTTAGTCTAGTTTTAGTCAGGACATAATTTTAACCTTTTACTTTTTTGTCAGCAGATAACGTTTAAGATTTCCTAAAATTATTTCAACATTTTCTTTCATCATCTTTTTGATAAAAAAACACAATTTTAAGGAACACATGCAGACATGGAAGATGTTCTGACAATATTTGCATATTTATTTTGAACATTGTTAAGGTT